CCCTCGCCGTCAGAGCTCTCAACGGCTGAGAGGTGAAACCCTCACTCTCAACGGCCGGGAGGGTTTCTCCTCTCATCCGTTGAGAGTGTACACCTCGACGGCCGAGAGGAGAAACCCTCTCGGCATCAAGAGTGTTCACACCCTCAACGGAAGAGAGGGTTTCTCCTCTCAGCCGTTGAGAGTGTATACTCTCGACGGCGAGGGGAAACCCTCTCGGCGTCAAGAGTGTACATACCCTCGACGGCAAGGGGAAACCCTCTCGGCGTCAAGAGTGTACATACCCTCGACGGCCGAGAGGAGAAACCCTCTCGGCGTCGAGAGTGTACATACCCTCAATGGCCGAGAGGGTTTCCCCTCTTGGCCGTTGAGAATGCAGTCTCGCGGCCGGGAGGCATCCTCCCGGCTGCTGCCGTGGGGTGGGGGTTGATTTGGTTTATCGACCCCCAAACCCTGGTTGGTTTGGGAGGATCGACTCCCAAACCAACCGGGGGTTTTTATTTTTTTTTTATTAAATTCGAGTCGACTCCCAAACCGCTCGACGGTTTTGGGGGATTGACAGCCTAATTTTGGGGGTTTCGGGGTTTGGGAGTCGACTCTCCAATTTTGGGAAGTCAATTAACCAAGCCCCAAAATGAATATGAAAAAATAAAAACAAAAGACAAAGTTTCAAAATTTGTGAAAAATAAAAAATAAAATTTGTTTTTCTCAAAAGCTTTGAAAGTCATTTTGGGGGAGTGAGAGTGCTGAGAGAAAGGAAGATTGGGATATTAGAAGAATGATTATAAATGAAAATTTTGGGAAAATTGGTTTCCAGATGGCTTCAAACAGCTGTTGAGTGGGGCATTCACCAGCCCGCATTGCTGTAAAACACTAGAATTTACTGTTTTGGCTCCAATCTGGACAACCTACCTGGCCAAACCTTTTTTGGTTCCAATTTTTTCATTTATAATCATTCTTCTCATGTTCCAATCTTTCTATCTCTCAGCACTCCCACTCTCCAAAATGAATATCAAAGCTTTTGAAAAAAAAATCAATTTTTATTTATTTATTTTTCACAAATTTTGGAACTTTGTTTCTTCTTTTTATTTTTTCATATTCATTTTTTAGAACCTATTATGCACCACCTGACCAAGTCTCATGAATTCAAGTTTGTGTTTCAGAGCTCTGGAATCCAAAATAAGCAGCCACTTTTCACTGTCTACCCACTGTACATCACAAAAAAATATAACTTTATGATCAGAATCACCTTAAAAATGGCCTTAGAGTTCAATTTGTATTTTGGATCTGATGTTTAAATGGGTTGCCATTCATTTTTGATCCCAACCCAAAAACGCTCGTGCAGGGTTCAGAGTGGTCACACATCAGAATTGATGGCCAAGTGTTGTTCCAAGTTCCAGACAGTAATTAAGCTCTACAGCAACAAAGATGAATGTGAGAGCTGACTTAAATCTGGTGAATTTGTCATGATTGGAGCCTTCAATGGGGAATGAGACCCATCCTCCTCATTGGAGTTTGAAACTTGGAGTGAATTAAATCATTGAAAGGATCTGGACTATATAGAATTTTGAGATGGTGAAAGTGTCTGGGCTTTGGGGGATTTGCTTCATCTAAAACTCTGGATCAGTCAAACGACCCATAAAATTCTCCTCCAACCCAAACTAGCTGGTCTCTAGATACATTCAGCACTATGGATCCAACTCCATTATTAAGGTGATCATCATCATTTCCATCCAATTTGTAGTCACTCACTCTTTCTTGCTGCTTTGTGTATTGTTCCTACTAGAAGAACCTTAAAAATGTGTCCTTATTGAGCAACTGTGCCATAGCACCCCAGCCAACTTTCATTTTCATTTTCATTTTTGATTGTTTTATTTTTTTGCCAATCAAAATTCACTCTTGATTCAGGCAGTGAAAATCCAGATTCTGTGCTGTGGGAAATTGAGTGTGCATGGTACACCATTAACGGTGTGGAGATTGGCCTCAGAATTGGGGCTGTGGTAAAGACCCTCAATATCAGGCTGTGAGAAAATTGGGATTCAATCAGTCACCAGGAAAAATCAATGATCACTTGATGCCAAATGGCATCCAAAAGTACAACAGCCCTTTTTGAATTTTAATTTTAGATTTCATCTCCACAATTCTCAGCATTAATTATTTGACATCTTCTGAATTAGAGGAAATCGTTCTTTGAGTGTAGAGTTATCCAACTTGTTTTTTTGGGGCTTTCAGTCTTGACTTGACCAAAATCAATCTGCCTCTGGCACACTTTCTGAAACAGATTTTGGTTCAGAGAAATGAACATGTTTGTTTCTTGGCTTCATTAGCCAAGTGGAAAACCAAGATGTTTTGGAGAAGAGACATTGTCACATAGTATTGTGACTTTCAAGAACCAGATGAACTGATGATGGGTGGGGTGTGCAGAGCACCCAGAGGACAAAAAACCACCTATTTGAAGCTCTGCTGAGCCATCAACCCCACCCCTGCTTTGGATCAGTCATTAGTCAACTCATCTTTCATAAAATCTACCTCCTGAGCATTGCAAGAAGTTCAATCCCTGCCCTTGTCACCCAGGTCAACCATCACTTGCAAACAAATTTCAGCAGAATCCTATCCTCCACTATGCATTTGAGCAAGCCTTGGACCCAAGCAACACTTGTCACAACAGCCTTGGTTGCTATACTGGGCTTTCAACTGTCACAAGCAATGTCTCCCTGTGAGAAGATTAGACTTGGTATAAAGATTGGCAAACACATACCACTTGAGGCAAATGTGAACTCCAAGGAACTGATTGCCATCATGGAAGAGGCAGTTTCCAAAAATCCAGATCTCATGCACAATACAGATCAGTTCTCAGCTAGACTGAAAGAAGAGTGTGCAAAGTTGGGAGATGCCAGCTGCCCTGCCTGTGGCCATGGTCAGACCTCAATTGGAAAAGGGAACAAGGTCAAAAAGTTCTGTCTCAAATGCCTTTCAGTTGCAATCAATCCTGGCAATAACTTCTGAAATTGGCATGTGAAATGTGTCTGTGGGGGATTCAAACCATAGCTTCCTGGTGAGGAATCACTTGGGCTGCTCTTACACTTAAAAAAAAAAAACATGAGAGCCCCTAGGGGCCGCAGGAAAAAATCTTTTTTTGTGTTTGAGTTTGGGACATGATTGTGTAAAATGAGTAGTGAATGTAACAAACCTAACCTTGAAATTGTGGTAGTGAAAACCCAAGTTATGGTTTGGTTACGTATCATCTGCTATCAGTCTATCAGCTGCCTCACACTTGCTTTCCTCTTATAAATTGACTGCTGACAAATTTCAGCAGAATACAATCCTCCACTATGAAATTGAGCAAGCCTTGGAGCCAAGCAAAACTTGTCACAACATCCTTGGTTGCTATACTGGGCTTCCAACTGTCACCAGCAATGACTCCCTGCCAGCAGCTTAGACTTGGTTGGGAGATTGTCAAACACATACCACTTGAATCCAAGGCAAATTTTCACTCCAAGGAACTGAGCACCATCATGACAGAGGCAGATTCCAAAAGTCTAGAACTCTTGCACAATTAAGATAGCCTCTGTCATTTGGTGTTGATGCTTTTCCCCGGCTGCTTGGGTATGACACAAGATCCGCACACCCTTCCTGTTACTCTGCTTCTGATTATTCTCATTTAAGCACTCAAGTTCTGATTTTTGTGTTGCTACAGCTGCTGTCTAATTTGAGATGTCATCTCTACAATTTTCAGCATTAATTATTTGAAATCTTCAGAGAAAAAAATTCTTTGAGTGTATAGTGATCCAACCTGTTTCTTGCAGCTGTCAGTCTTGATTTGACCACAATCAATCTGCTTCTGGCACAAGTGCTTAGAAAGCTTTTGGTGTGGAGAAATGCTGTAGGACTCCTGGGACGGATAGACACGGTAAAGTATATGTATATCAAAAGATCCCTTGAGGGGGAAATAAATTGCAAATAGGTTGAAAGGCTATTACAACTTACGGGTGGTTTGAAAGACCTGCCCCTCTAATTGTAATAAACAAATAACTAAGAGTCTTGTAATCAATATTTAAGAATATGTGGCTGATTCCAAGATAGATCTTACTTTTGTAAAGTAATCTCTATCAGACCTAGATCACGTATCAATCTACTAATGAATCTGTTACAACTTCAGGTTAATAATGGAAACTGTGGCGCTTATGGTTGAGCGCAAGACAGTTGGATTTGTTATTTAGAGTTTGCTAATGATCTCTTCCTCAAACAATTTCTTGCTAAGGCACTTTAATCACAACTAGAGCTCCGGTGTTACTACTACTACTACTTGTTATTTGTTATTTGTTAATAATACTACTTAAGTTTACTTTGTTATGGTTCAATGGTTCTGGTTCTACTACTTATAAATCTCTGACTTTACTTAACTAATTCTCTGACACGCACACTACTAACTAATTGTGACCAACTTACTCCTGTAGGTTGATGGGGAAAAAGAGAATCCTGGTGGAGAGAGGCCCTCCTTTTATATTGAAGGGTGAGGGATTTCCGCCGCAGGGGACTCCTTCTGAGTTATTTTTGCTGCAGGTGACACACACTTGCACAGCATGATGTCATTGGTTGCTATGAAACCAAGCCATGTAGCATGTGCTGAAACATTCCAAAGCAGTAATCCAGTACAGTATACAGTCTCATGAGATCTGTTACTCAGAAACCAAATCCACATTCCAAATGTTCTGTGTTTCATCTCAACAGATGAAGCAACAGATCAAACATCAGATGAAACACTTGCTTACTTCCTTCCTTGTTCATTCTTCAGGGTCAAAGCCTCTCCACCTACCTTCCTTCTCCCCTCCTCATCAACTGTCTTATGTTCTTTTCCACTGATTACACAATAAATAAACCCTTATGACATAACCTACCCACGCACACACCACATCTACATATGTATACCTTATCCTGTTGTTGTATGTCCTATGTAATGAATGTTCCTCCTCTTGTAATGAATGATAATTGTGTGTAACTATCACCTATTCTGTATGCTTTTGGCATTGGAACAGGCACAGCACACCACAATGCCCATGTTTGTTTCTTGGCTTCATTAGCCAAGTGTAAAATCAAGATGTTTTGGAGAAGACATGTAGTATGGCATTTTTTCAATAGTCAGGTTATCTGAACAAGTTGGCTTATGACAACGCTGGGCCAGCTACACTAACCGTAGCAGTTAGCGCAGCGTAACGTAGTAGAATTCCGCTAAACTTTAGCGTAGCGTAGCGGAATTCCGCCACGTCCACGCTAACACTACACGTGTAGGCCCTTAAGAAGTGCCCGCTTTGCCACTGGTTAGCAACGTTTTGGCCCTGTAGCGGCCGTTAGCGGCCCATAGCGCAGCGTAGTGTTGCAAAAATTTGCTAACTTGTCAGCTTGCTACTATAGCAGAGAAAACCTGTCATAGTACACAAACATAATATAAAATACAAAAAAACATTATTACTCACCAGAGATGTTTTTAGATGAATAGTACTAAAAATAAATGAGAAGATCAAATAATAAGGGCATTATTTATCAATATTCTTAATCTATATGAAGAATAACCTAGGGTACCTCACTCAAAGGTACCCCATATTTCAACTACTTCATGCGGCAAATCTACATTAAAGATATAGAGTGTACCTCCAAGCAGGAAATGAAATATGCTTATAATTAAATATGCTAATAAGCAGGTTTAAGACTTGAAACGGATTTGCTGTTTCAAACATACATTAGTATATTAATAACACATGTGTGGCACATTTCCAAGGAAATAGCCACATGTTTCAGCTTTCATCTTCTACAGAACACCTATGGCACATTTCCAAGGATATGGTCACATGTTTCAGCCTCCATGCATGAAGCACCCACAAGTTGACCCTGATCTCCCAGATGCCTCCACAGGTATATAAAGAGCCCTCTGTCCCCCCAAATAAAGATTCCTCAGATTATTACAACCCACTTTAGATTACCCACCGTCCCAAATGCTTAACATTTGTATCTGTCTGGTAATGTATTGTCTCTTGCTTTAATTCTCTGTCTATCAGAACCTCAAGACTTAAGGGGCTTTATTAGTACATAATGCCCCCATCTGTCTTGAGATTCTTACTACTTTCTTCTGGGATTTAAACCACCCCTGTTAAACAGGCCCCAGTGTTAACAGGTACCTAAATCCTCTGCTTTTGCACAATACCTTAGAGGGAACTAAACCACCCCTGATTTATCAGGCCCCTCTGTTTAAATTATATCAATATTTATTGATATAATTATTCATTTCTACTATCTCATAACCTTGTAATTACCACTCATTGTTGGAATTACACACCGGACTCTTTAGTCCCAGAGTTCAAACTCTAACATCTTAAGTTTTGCACCACGTGTAGCTAGAAGATTTACCATCTTGGCATCACGGTGGCTGACATAACTTTTTGCTAACACTACACAATTTTGGCAAAAAACCGCTACGCTAAGGCTTTTTGGGCAAAAAGTGTAGCATAGCGTAGCGGACCAGTGCTGCTTAAGATAGTATAGGATTTGTTTGATACATCTGAATTTACAGAATCAGATGAGCTGATGATGGCTGGGGTGTGCAGAGCACCCAGAGGACAAAAAACATCTATTTAATGCTCTGCTGAGGCATCAACCCCACCCCTGATTTGGATCAGTCAGTAGTCAACTCAACTTGCACAAAACCCACAGTCAAGCACCAAATACTGAGCATTGCAAGCAGTTCAATCCCTGCTCTTGTCACCCAGTTTTACCATCACTTGCAAACAAATTTCAGCAGAATACCATCCTCCACTATGCGTTTTAGTGAGCCTTGGACTCAAGCAACACTTGTCACAACAGCCTTGGTTGCAATACTGGGCTTCCAAAAATCACAAGCAATGACTCCTTGCCAGGGGGTTAGAATTGGTTGGAAGATTGCCAAACACGCACCACCTGGGGATAAGGTGGACTCTGAGAAACTGGGCCACATTATGGCTGAGGCAGTGTCAAAAAATCCTGAACTCATGCAAAATGAAGAGCTGTTCTCAGCTAAAGTGAAAGAAGTGTTTGGCCAGTTGAGAGAGGCCAACCGCCCTGCCTGTGGGCATGGTCAAGGCTCCATTCAAAAAGGGAAGAAAGGCACAAAGTTCTGTCTTGAATGCCTTTCACGTGCAACCAATTATGGAAGTAACACCTGAAATTGACATGTGAATGTATCTCTGGGAGATGTAAACCATGACTTGTTGGTTAGTCAGGAATCAATTGGGGGTTGAAACCATTCTTAAACTCAAAAAAAAAAAAAACCAAACCAAACCAAACCAAAAAAACAATTATAGCCCCTGGGGCCGCAGGAAAAAACCTTTTTTGGGGTTTGAGTTTGGGACATGATTGTGTGGAATGAGTAGTGAATGTAACAAACCTAACCTTGAAGTTGTGATAGCAAAAACCTAATTTATGGTCTTTTTAGATATCAGCTGCTATCACCTACCTCACCCACTTGCTTTCCTCACTAATACTCCCAATAAGACTGGGGGGTATTACACATAATACTCATGCTGAGGTCTCCTGAATCAGAAATTTTAGTTTTTCTGGGTGCAATCCTGATAGAAACTGATTTCATCTTGAGAATTAAAAATATAAAAAAAGGAGCATAGTTGCTTGTGGTATTCTAATGCACAAATTTTGAGCTGTCCTTACTGTTGGGTCCCAAAATGAGGATTTAATCTGTATTTCTAGGGGCTACAAAATTGATATGACTAATCCTAGACCTTGGCATGATGATGAAGCCACCTGAAAATGTTTTTGAAAGCACTGAAATATACATAGTTTCAGCATGTATGCACATAAGTCAATACTTTTTTGAAATTGTAGAAATGCTTCAATCTATTTTGATCATCAATTTTTTAACTTGTCTGCCACAAAATTTTTGATTTTTCTCACCCAGTCCCCCATTGAATCCCGCAATTTCTTTCTGGAAAGTCGGTCAGTGTACTTTTTGTTGATTTGCTTTATTTCTTCTTCTGACATCTCAGGACCTGGCTTGGGGGTAGGTGGCTCTGCAAGTTTTGAAATTCTTCTGAACAGTTGATTAATCCTAGGGATCTCTTGATAGATACTATTTTCAATGTTTCTGACTGATTTGGATAGAGCATCATGATCCTCTGCCGCCTTGTTCAACACATCATAGTGTTTGAAAATGTCTTGTGCTGCACCATTCAGTTTTTCCCGAGAATCCTCTGTTAACGTTTCCCATCGGGTACCCTTCAGACGCTCATCGTCCTTGACCAAAGGTTTATGCCAGAATTCTGCTAGTCTTTTGTCCAAGCCTGGAAGTAAATTGGATATTGTCCCTCCATCCGCTTTTAAAAAGTGACAAATCAAGTCACATTCATCAAAGTGAAAAAAGAAAAAGACAAAAACAAACATTAATATGTTACTCTAGACTACTTGTAGAATTAACCAATTTAATTACCTTTGGGGAAAGGTGATTTCAGGTGAACTTCATTCAGGAATCTTTCCAGCGCTGAATCCGGAACGATTGCAGCAGGAATATGAGCATCCACATAAGCTTTTGTAATAGACTCAATATCCGGCTGCTGAAGGAACTTTTTAACGACCTTTGCGTCATAGACCTTGAAGGCTTTTTCGAAATCTTTGTTGTAGGGCCTTTCGAATGCCTCTCTCGTGAGATAGAATTGATTGGCTTTCTTGTCAAGTTGGTCGAAATACATTTTGTAAAGAATATCTCCAGCTTTCTGGTGCACATTTCCCATCTCTTCAGAAGATTCGACTGGGTCTCCAATCCGACTCACTAGGTTATTTTTGAATTGCGATACCAATTTTTTTTTGAAATCTTCCTGTGTACCTAGAGCTTCCATGAATTGCTGTTTGCTTATCCCATGGGTCGGATTCAATTTGGCTCGAGTGGATGCATCAATCAATTTTTTATTGAACAACTCTTCAACGTAAGCGTAATTGATTGAATCGAGGTTTATAGCTTCTTTTTCTAATTTTTTTAGTGTTTCTAAATACTGTACCTTATCCGGATCTTGGCTAGCAGAAACGCGTTGTTCGATTATTCTGAGTTCTTTCCTGAAGGCCCTACGACCAGTGTTAGCTTCTCTGAGGGTTTCGTAATCATGTGTCTTTAGAGATCCTTTCCTATTATTGACGGCATAAAGAATTTTATCTGGATCTTGCGGAGTTTGGGTAAGTTTCTGAAATATTGTGGAAGGATGCTCGCCAGACCATCTTTCAAATTCGGCTTCGCCCAGCTTGTTGATGTAGGATTCTGCTTGTAGCCTCACACTCCAAGGGTTTTTGAAGACATAATTTATCTGTCTATTGGCTGTATTCTCGATGAGCGGATGAATTTGCTCTCGTTCTTCAGCTAAGATCTTTTCAAAACCTTTCATCAACGAGTAGTGATAGAGCTCTGTGGTCAAGTCGAAGTCTGCGGGTAGTGCGTGGATGACTTCTTCTACTGTCGAGTAAATTGGATTGGAAGGCTCTTCGGCGGACTTGGCGCTCAACTGGATCGCTCGTGCTTTAGCAAACTTATCAGTGTCGATGGCGTTCTTCTCCAGCAGATCTGGGAAGAAGCTACTTATTCGCTTTGGGATAATGTTTTGAACGGATGCAAGACTGAGCAACGTCAGTTCATATTCCCTCTGAAACTTTGCCAGCGTAGCTCTGTCAAGCTCATTGAGCAATGTAGTTACAGCACTCTGGGCCTCATGTTCACCAGGAATTGCTGTGTCTAAGATTGTGAGTCTATTCAAAGCTTTTCTGAGCGTTTCCGATGGTTTTATCAGCTTCAGCGAACCGACTAAGAGCTTGGAGGTAGGAACCGTAGTTTCCATACATCTTCCGTCCTGGCACCTGGCCTTTCGGTATTATTTTCTGTTCAAGCAGTTCAACAAGATTCCGCGCATTGTAGAGCTTTCCATTTCCCAGATTAAACCCCTGTTCTTTGTTATCCAGGGCCTTGATGATCTGGAGTTTTTGTTTGTCTGTGAGAAAATGTAGCGTAGTAGACAAAGTAACAACGCATTTTTTTTTTTTCATACGAGGTCAACTTGATGATGAGGAGTCACTCATTAAGAAGAAGTAGGAAGGTGTGTGAATGTTTAATTTACCGAACTCTTTTAGCTCCTTGGAGGTAGGATCACGATACTCGGCATCCTTGAGCGGAAATACTGGTTAGCGACATGTCAAAGCGAGCTTGAAGACGTTGTGGCCATTTTGCTTACAATTTTGATTCCAGAATCGTCAAGCCAGGAAGGTTTCCTGTGACAATGTAAAGAATTCAAAGAATTCAGTCTGAGAGGCATTTTGGTTTGGTTCTAGCAATGACTCAATCTGAAGCAACTTTAGTAACTGTGCTTTTGGTAGCTCACCGTCGAAGCTCAGGCTGTTTGGCCCCTTTGATTATTGGTTGAGAGCCGAAGGATCTAGATGAGCCAGAAATTTGGGCTGATGAGGGGTTCTTCTGATAAGAAGCCATGGGGGTATTCTCGAACGATTTCTGGAAGGCTAAAGCTCGCGTATTACCAAGTTCTTCGCCCGATTTTAAAGTACTCCCTGCTCTTCCGGCGTTCGACATGCTTTCGCCGGCAGTGCCTAAAGCATTAATCATTGCTCGAGGCTGAAGACGAGGAAGGGAGAAGGAACGATAACTGGAAATGAAACAGAAGAATTCAATGATTGAAATATTATAAAGTGTAAAGGCATGCATGTTGGAATATGTTGATTCAAAAAGGTTCAAACGAGAGAGATATAGAGTGACTCAAAAGACTGATAGTTGTTGGGTGAGATGAAAGGAATGAAATGGATCCTTTTTTGAACAATAAGGGTTAAACTTTGCATCGCACGCGGTATTAAGGCAGCTGGAGTTGACCGACACCTCACAGCCATTGTATCATCGTCCCGGTATTGTAAAAGTCGTTAATGCATCACTGAAAGTCAATCAACCTCGGTTGCTAGTGCTTTCGGGAACAGGGGTTGGGGATGAAAAAAAAAAAGATAAAAGTGGCACAACCACCTCCGGTGGTATGATGTTTGAACGGATCGAGCCATCATTGTATGTACGTGCAACAGCATTTGAAGTCACTCCGTGTGCAGTCTAGCCTGAGCTCATGGTCCCCTCTGGCGCTTGTTGCGTTTGTTTCTGGGCACGGCTGATTGTCTCATTGACCCGGTTGAGGCAACGTACGATACATTCTCGCTGAATCCTGCACCACACGGCATCAATCTATTATTATCTAACGACAAGCAGGAGGGCTTTTCTCTTCTTTCAATCACCACCGGGGTCAGTGGTACGGAATCTGACATTCAGATTCGGCTGGAACCCCAAGACGCGCATTCTCGTCCGGCGGACCGGCGTGGATTTGAAAGTTGGGAGGCTTTGACAAAACGGTTAGAAATTTTCGTCTCCTCACAGTAGGGCTTGTTATGTTCAATCACCAACTGCAACGGGGAGGCTTGTTACTCAAGTCAGAATCAACCTGGGGTAGCATGGACATCCTGATAGGCGCCCACTCGGAAACCCTGACTGTTTCGTCAGTCGGTATATCAGCTGCACCTTCAAGCTTAAAGGTGTTGGTGCATTAAAGATTTGAATCGATGACTGAGATTATATCCAAAGGGAAAATCAGAAGAAGTCCCTAACATTCACATACAAGAAAAAACAAACAACGAAAACGAAGGGAAATGGATATGCATGTGCTTCCAATGTTCAGTAAAGGTGTCACGTGATATTTGGTACAAGCAGGGATTCAAAATAACCATGAAGAAGAATTTACTAAGAGGGGTAAATTGGTAATTACATGATTTGAGAAAAGAGAACAATTTTTTTGTCGATAAAAAAAACATGCACTTTTCTACTCGAATCATCTAGAAAAGAAAAAGATCTTCTGATCATGAACGGGGTATTGTAGAAACTGTCCGATGTGTCTGAACCATCCTTTTGAGGTAGTGGATGGATCAGCTCGTGCGCTATAAATGAATTTTTGGAATTTCTTGCAATAATTTTTGTTATTTTGCGAGATAATTTGGATTGAGATTGGCTGGTTGATGGCTTATTTGGCAGGGTTGTTCTGAACAGATGGTAAGACATTAGCTTGTTCGGTTGGAGCACTACCACCAGCCACTAGGTTCTGAGTCTTCTGCTCCTCGAGCGCTTTCAGCTTTGCCATTCGAGCCCGGTACGCCTGATTGATTGTGTCTATCGGGGCTTCTGTCTTGGTTGCGTCAAACCACCCATTACCGCGGTTTGCGTGTTGTCTGATTCGCTGCATTATTTCGAGCATTCCAGGAATGCTGTCATTGAGTTGGTTTTCAAGACGAGTGAGGCGTGCTAAACGTTCTGGAGTGCTTGCTGCTTCCTCAATCAGCTTGTCAAGATCTCTGAAAATGAATTTTGCTGCGTCGTTGAGCTTGACTCGATCTGCAAATGGCATTTTTTCCCATGGGGTCCCGATCAGGCGGTAATCGTATCTCGTTAAAGGTTCCCGGATGAATTCAGCCAATCGCCTATCGACGGTGTCAAGGTTTCGAAATTTCTCATTGCCGACGCCAAGTCCTGGGATGCGGATATCTTTGAAAGATTGATTGAGCCACGACCACAGAAGGGAAGGAACGATAATCAGTGCACGAATCTCAAGTGGTATCACTTGAAGAGAGAAAACCACGTTGACATACCATTGGCTGGAGATGCGGGTCTATTGATTTCACTGAAGAATTTATCAAGCCGCGATTTGTAGGCAACTTTGTCAACTGGTGCTGGTGCTGGTGCTGGTGCTGGTTTCGGTTTTGGGACGTCCGGTTTGAAGGCTGGTTTGCGAGGAAGATGAAACTCGACATAAGCTTTCGCGAGTAAGTCGGGATCAGGTTTTTTAACGTATTTCCGTACGGCCTTGGGGTCATAGACCTCGATGGCTTGATCGAATTTCATCGAATTGGGTGCTTCGAATGCATCCTTTGTGAGATAGAAGGACTTAGCCCTCTTATCGAGATCCTCGAGATACGTTTGGGTCATAATGTATTTGGCTTCGTCGTGAGCTTCTACCCCGTCTACCTTCACGGGAAAGGGGTGCGGTGTGGTAGTGGTGGCGAGCAAGTCCTGTTTGAATGGGGTCATCAAACGTTCACTGAAGCCTTCTTGTGTCCCCAGAGCTTCCAAGAATTGCTGTTGGGATATCCCTGGTTGATTCAGTTTGGCTCGAGTGGTCGCATCAATGAATTTGTCTTCGAATAACTTCTCGACGTATGCGTGATTTGCTGGATCATTGGTGAAAGCTTCGTCGCGCAGTGACTGCAGTGTTTTTAGATACTCGGCCGTCTTCGGGTCATTGATTGACTTCGTCTGAATTATCATTTTATCAAGTTTATCCCGGAAGAGTTGAGGGTGGTAACCGACTAGTTCGAGGGCTCCAAAATCATCCTCTGCCAGGAATTGCTTCCTGCTTGTGAGTGCATACTTTATTTTATCTGCAGGTGTTGCGGGTTGGCTCAGTTTTTCAAACATTTGTGACGGACGAATGCCATGTAATCTTTGAAAGTCGGTTTCTCCCAGCTTGTTTATGTAGGCTTCTATCTGTGGCTTGAGGAGTGAGGGTTTTTTGAAAACAGCCTGCATTGGTTTCGTGGTTGTACGGTCCAGGATCAACTTGACGCTTGGTCGTACATCATCCAAGACTTTTTCGAATCCTTTAATCAGTGTGTAGCGGTAGAGCTCTGTGGTGGCGTCGAAGTCTGCAGGTAATGCATGGATCACTTCCTCGGCTGTCGAGAATGTCGGATTGGCAAGTTCTCCGGGGTTTTTGGGGGCCAGCTGGATTTCTCGGGCATCGGAAAACTTGGTGATATCGATGGCTTGATACTTCTCTTTCAACAAGTCTGGGAAGTAAGACTCGAGTGGTTTTGGCATCTTCCAATTGGTGCGTCCAAGACTTTTTACCGCCGCTTCGGATTCTGGCTCAAACTTTGCAAGCTTGGCTTCATCCAACTGTCCGATCAAACTGATTACGCCGAGCTTCGTCTCCGAAACCGTCGGGGCTGGAATTGGCCTGGGTACACCTCGAGAAATTCCTTGAACCGCTTCCAAAGCTGAATCAATTCGGGCTATCTTGTCCTTGTGGTCCGAATACTCCGATAACATTTTAAGATACTTCTTGTATGGTTGTTTCGCGACAACTGGCTCTTTGGAGGCGGAGGTCATAACCATCTTCGGTGGCATTCTCTCGTCAAGCAGTTTGGCAAGATTCTCAACAGTATACAAATCGCCATTCCCCAATTGATAACCGTAGTCACCATCCTTAAAGGCTTTGATGATTTTGTCTTTTTCTGTATCTAGATAATAAAAAGTGAAGAGTATCACGAGAGGTGGCAAATTTAAATGAAAAAGATAACGTTTTGGTGATTAGCTGTTAGTCAGTCAGTAAGTCAAAAAAAGACAAGCCAGTGACCTACTGAACGCTGCTAGCTCCTCATTGGTAGGGGGACGACGCCCAGCTGTCTGAAGCGCGAAACCTGATCAGCGACGAAGCATAAAACCCTTTGTCGAGGATGAAGTGTCAATTTCACTTACAGTATAGAGTGGAAATCGTTCGTCCTTTGGATGAAACCTATGCCAAGGTATAAAAAAAACTCAATATGTGAGTGAGAGGACAACTGACTTCAAGCCACGAGGTAAAAGACAAATGAGATTAAATCTGATATTAATAGCTCACACAGGACGCGGTCGCACTTGAGCATCTGGGCCTATAGGGAGCTCTGGCGCCTCATGGGTAGGCGAACGTAGCTCCGACAGCTCTGACAGGTCACTTGGGGACGAACTCAGTTCTGATGTCGAACGCGCAGGAGCTCGGGGCGTTTTGAACCGTGTCACAGCGTCCCCATACTTTGTTTTCAATCTTGCAAGCTTCGGGAATGAGAATGGTTGGGGGTTTCAGTTAGCATATTTGCTTGAAAAGCTGAATGTCCCGCAGTTGAATTCTACCCACCATCAGGTCCTGCAAAAAAGAAAAAAAAAGAAAGAAAGATCCGGTCAATCGTTGTGTTATTGGATGAGATAGATCTGGATAAGAACAACACATACAAATTGTCTTCCCCAACGCTGCCGCCAAACTTTGAACAAATTCCTGAAATCAAGCGCCAATAGATTAATAACTCGATTCTATGGGAGGCACTTTATCATATGTGGTCAAAGTAAACTGGATGGAACACATACTTGAGGGACCCTTGCACATTGTTCGCCAAGGTATTCACTGCTTTTCGCTACGGATTACGATATCAGAGCCTGCTTCAAATGTGAGTTGCGATAACGGTTTCAAGACAACACTCACAGCTCTATTCCAGGCTTGAAACCACTCTATCTTCTGTTTTAGCTGCAAGCGAAATTAGTCCAATTGTGAAAGCAGAAGTGAGAAAATTTTTGCCTTGCTCAAACATGCAAAAGAAGCAGATAGGATCAAGAGTCCTTACAGTGGGTCCCTTCAATTTGATCCTGAGATGTCAGTAAGAAGCTAGTCAGTTTGAGCTCGACTATTGTGGGTATACTTGTTTTTCCGGTTATTCAACATACCTTGGGGAGAATAGATTTTGCTTGGGGGGGTTGGCTTTAGGTACAAACTTGGGCACAGTGCTGCCGGGGGGAGTGGAAGGTGGCTGGAAGGGTGTAGTATCCGAAGGTGTTTTCTTGGGGGGTCCAAAAGATGGAGAAATTTCCTTGGATTGATCGTGGGGGGCAGGAGTTATTTCTGGCGTTTCTTGTGGTGTTTTCTTAGGAGGCTCAGTGGTAGGTTTGGGTTGATCGTGGGGGGCAGGAGTTATTTCTGGCGTTTTTGGAGGTGTTTTCTTGGGAGGCTCAGCAGATTCTTGTTTAGGATTTTCCAGAGACTTCTGTTTTGAAGGATCGAAGGCCTCTGAGGAAGAGTCGGTTTTGGCAGTACTGGGGTTGAAAGAGGCATCTGTGGACGGGAGTGGGTGATCCTTAGTCGGCGGTAGGGTCAACTTTGAATTCGACTCTCCTGGGAACGAAAATGAGCGGGTATCGCCACCAGCACCAGCACCAGCTCCGGCTCCGGCCTTGAAACTGCTAGAACCGGCTTTGTTCAACTCCTGAAGATCTTTTGCAGCGCTGGCTGCTTTGGCGCCGGACGCAGCAGTTTCTTCCGCTTTTCCAAAGGCACCAGCGGTCCTGCCAGCTTCGAAGGCATACATTCGTGGTTGAAGGCGGTGGACATGGAGGCAGTGAGACGTTGAAAGTAAACAGAGAAATCCGATGATTGGAAGTGGTGTGAGCACTCGCATAGTAGGATGTGTGTCAAAGAAAATGTAGAAAAGAACGTATGTATGAATCCCTCTGAGGACGGCTTGAGAGGACGATGCGCAACGAGGACATCAAGTCGAGATAGAGGTAAGAAATGCCAACATGACTTCCCTGTCTTGTTGTTAAGATATGGAACGCGGGGGTGATACATCATGCTGAAATGAGGGTCCAAGACACGAATTCTTGAAATATGAAGTGGAAACATGGATGAGCTTTCTCCAAAGTTCCGACTCTATCTTCGGAGCGGGACAATTGTTCGTCTCGCCGCCTTGTCCCGGGCATCGTAACATGTACGCCGGATGTGTACACCCCATACCGATAACCTCGACCGGCTTGGTAAGTCTCCTTGGAAGTGCCACTTACCCCGTGTTGCATGTAATTCAAGAAGTCAGTGTTACCGCGTTAACAGTACATGTATTTTTGAGAGAAGAGTTGTGCCCGTGAATTTGCTGGTTTCATGTCTGGTCCATGTGGCCCATTGATGACTGCAACCCCCAGCTCAAGTTTTCAAAGAGATACAGCCTAACTTAACTAATCCCTTCCCTTCCTGGTCGGAGTGGTAAACCACTTGTCGCATTGCGCCGACCGGTACATGTATTTTTGAGAGAAGAGTTGTGCCCGTGAATTTGCTGGTTTCATGTCTGGTCCATGTGGCCCATTGATGACTGCAACCCCCACCCTCCAATAGGGGGACTTAGTTAAGTTAGAGATACAGCACGCTTTGATTTTGTGAACTGATCGAATTAGAATGAATGAATGATGGAGAGACAAATAGATTGGTACGACCATAAGAAAACTATTGTCACCCATAGCCATTTCCCACCTGGCTAGGGTATGTTAGAACATTTGTGTTTTGCAATCATCTGTGCCCTATTGCTTTGCTTTTGTTGGTCTGATGACTTCGATATTGCCAGTGTTGTACCAAGCACTTAACCTTCATGTTCGTGCCTGTTAACACTACATAATTGCCCAGACCATTATGCCAATGGTTCTCGATCGATGGTTTAAAAGTCTTCTTCATTTTTGTGGTTGCTTTTACCACCTGGAACTTGAAGACACAAATTTCATGTCTTTCCTCTTTACATTCATGATATATGGGGCTAATAAGATGTGGTGATTCTTTCTTGGATACAGAAGATGTCATCTTATGATGAGCGATACATAGGTAAACAATTCGAATGTCCTTATCATTTTTTAGTCTTCCAGCCTGCAGGCCAAGTACGCTGGATATGACCCACATGGCTTGTCGGTTCAAGAGGGTCGCTTGGCGCGCTTGACCGGTCCAAAGGGTGTGGCAGGGTACATACATAGCGGCTCAAGGCAAGATAGAAATCAGAGCGAGGCTGTAAGTTGAATTCCTTTTAAAATGTCAATTTGCACTCCATGCATACATAACAACTTCTTGATGAGGCCCGGTGAGTACATAATACCAACAACAGCATCATCAGCGGTGGTCGTCCTCCAGCTGCCAAGTCGAGCTACATAGCTTGTGGTTGTTTGTGGATGAAGGGGGAGGGGTGTGACGTTCAACAAACGTTGGAAAGTGGTCGATTTCTAGCCGCAAACAATCCTTCGATAGCTTTGGTGGAGTAACACTCAGCCTTTCCTAGCTATTACGTACCTTTTTGTCGTCGTACCCTGTCACAAGCGAGGCCCAAAACTACTCAATCCAGCTCATCAAGCTTGAGCTTGGCCGGTCGAACAGATCCAGGATGTCCTTTTATTTATGTTGTTCTCAGTCTGGCAGAGCTCAACCCTGTTTATCAACCCTCGATTGAACATCAGCAGTCAATGGCATGGGAACACCTCCAGAGGATATAACTCCACACTCATCATAAATATTGATATCCTCCTCCAGCTTTGATACATATTTATTCACCCTTCATTGTTGTTTCCTTCATCAAAGAAGAAGCCTTTCCTCAATTTATCCCTTCAAGCTCACTAATAGTATTGTAGCTAGCCACTTCCGACTGAAGATCCCCCCCCAAAGAAGCTCGAGTAGCAGCAGCATTCCCCCAAGCTATCACGAGTATCTTCAAGATATTCATTCAGTCGGCCACCAAGAACGACGGAATAGCCACGCAGTCTACACAGTCTAGGAGAGATGGTGACTACCAGGAGTGCGGCATGTACGGCAGGTACCACCATTGCTGCTGCCCGACAACTTCGACATCAACGTCGCGCTCGCACCGCCGAGCAAGATATCCTCGGTCAAACTCAACCCGGACCAGCAAAGTCTAACAAACGCCAACGTCGGGCCACCTCTGCTAAAACTAAAAAAACTACTCCGACACCCACACCCACACCCACACCCGTCGATCAAGAAGCAGACATGCTCCAACCAGAACCTCCGATGACCCAAGAGAATGGCGTGGTCGCTGAGCCGGGACCCACCCAACAGGTTGAGTTTTTTTTTTTTCCTTCACAAAAATCTTTGGCACTCTCATTTGTCGCCCCATCCCCAATATTTACATGATGCACCTCCTGCAGAGTTCCACCTCAAGCGCAGTTAGCGAAACGACCGTCCGGCCGGCGAGCATGGCTCAGCAATCTCCAGCCGCTGACCCTTCCCCTGAACCGCCACAGCCTGAGCCCCCAGTGAGTACCAAGCACTCTTGTTTTCTCTCAGGGTGATCCATCACGACCGGCTCACTCTCCGAGCCTCTTCTCATCCTCCAGAAACGATGGTTCGGCCCGATCGGTAACATCTCCTTGCCCAATCCTACGGTGCCCATCTTCAAGCCCACCGAAAGTTTGGTGCGTCAAATCCTCCAGCCCTTTGCCCCCCCCCCCTTTTTTTGTGTTCAACGCACCCTTTTTAACTTTTCATATTATGATTATCAGTTCCACTTCTCTGCTGGCTTGCCTGCCCCCAAGCCGGAAGTCAAGCCATTCGAGGTAAGCCAATCTAGACTTGCAGATAATCTGCTCGTTTTGATCGAACTGTTGACGCTCACACCATTGACTCTTCACAATAGGCCGACCGTCAAAACACCGAGGCCCATGGATTCCCGGGGATGACTGGTCTGCCGCAAGCGAGCACGAGTAGTGGAGAGCGAAGACACGAGGCGATTACGAAGGCGGCGGCGGCAGTGATGGCACACATGAATGGGCACGACGCCTCCCGGTCGGACTACGTGTCAATCCTGGACGGGATGCTCGAAGACCCGGAGATGCGGACGGAACTGCCGCCGGTCTTAGTTGAGCAATACGACGCGGCGGCCCAGGGCGAACACACGACGCTCTACAACGGCGCCTTGGTCGAGAAGTTCATCCATGCCACCAAGCGAGCCACCGATGTGGTGGCCAAGATCCTGATGACCAACAAGAATGCCCGTCGGGACCGTCAAGCACGTGCGGCCCGTCCCCGAGCGGAGACCTCTGCTTACCACACACCCGTCCCGATCCCTTTCTCGGCCGGGCCTCCCGAGCCGAGTCCACCTACTGGCGACTACACGACAGACCTCGGGGACCAGATACCCATGGCGTCATCCCAGTCATCCCAAATGCCGCCTCCATTGTTCACTTACCCGCTCACCGAAGCTAATCTCAACCGTCGTGCTGAAACCCAAAATGCGAAGAACCAGGCCAGAGAAGCCTTAGGCCATCGCGACGATGAGCGCTCCGGCGTCATGCGTAACTCCTCAAAACGCTCCGTACGCGCGGCACCTTACCCCAGACCAAGCCCGTCCGATAACCGTCCCGGCCATGGTCTCTCCGCTGAGATGGCCGCCGTCTATCCACATGGTGTGGACGTCAACGATGAATCTGGCTACTCGGTCTACAGTGCCTCAACAGGTATGCAGTTCTTTCTTTCCTTAAGAGCACCAAATACCAAGATAGGCCACGCGTGAATCGAGAGCTGATTGGGTTGTTTTTTTTTTTCAAAAATATCTAGGCTTAGCTCATCAACAATCGGAAGCCCAACGAATGGCAAGTACGATGCTGGACAACGTAAAGAAGATGGAAGACCCGAACACGTATGAATCGCAATGCAGGAAGGAAGCGGAAGGGGTGTTAGCGGAGATCGAGCGAAGCCGAGGGGCCGATGCGGCGGCGCGAATCCGGACGGGCTTCGACCTGATGAGCTGCTACGAATTAGTGAAGAAGACGAATGTGAATTTCCTTTCGGAGGCCTTATTGGAGCACATCTCCGACTCCTCGCGTACGCCAAACAATAGTCTCCCCCCTCCTCCTCCGTCGCAGAGTCAGCCGCAACCTTCCGGCTCCATGTCTACTCCTCGCTTCGAGGATATCCGGCCCCCGCCGCAAACGCCCTGCTTGCATCCCCAGTACGGACTCGGCACCCTCGGGTTCGCGAGAGTCTTCAAACCCGCCGCGCCCTCCTTTCATCGTACTATCGTCCTCGATACCCCCATGCGTCCTCCCCCTCCTCCTTGATCTTCTTCACCTAAAATTTAGCACCCCGGACCGGTCGTTTTGTTTTGGTAACACTCTGCTTCTTTCCTCAATTTGAATTGAACTCCTTTTGTTGGTATGTATATCATCCATCCATCCCCCCCTTCCCTTTCTTGGTTATTAAATTTCAATTATTATCAACATCAAAACTCAAAAAAAAAAAAAACATAAAACCCCTTCAAAAAACAAAACAAAAAAAATATTCTTGAATAAAATCTTGCTGCAAATAAATATATACTGCCAAAAAAAAAGAGATCAATCATGTAAATATAAGAATCATTATGAACAAAAAAAAAGAATCCTTCAACAATCCATCCCATGAGAGACATCCTAGTTATCCCAGTTGTTAGTGATGTGTCCCCCCTATTTCATAGTCTGTTTGATTGTCATAGTGAATATGCCCTGACTTCCCCCCATTGCAATATGAATCCCATGTACCCCCCGCATTGATATTGTGAGTTTTGAGTGTGTAGCTCTTGAAGTGACAGACAGTAGGTCTTTGTGATGGTAGTCAGGTTCTGTTGGACAGAGGGAGCTGTTGTACTCTGTCTGCTCAATGTCCCCCACAACAGCTCACTCAGATGAGGGCCAGCTTGAGGATTGTTAGAGATTTCTGGCCGAGTTTGGGTGGAGTGGTGGTGCTGTGGATGCGATAGTGTTGGTGTTTATGGTTCAACTGATAAGAGGAGGACGGATCAGAGCGGATAAATCTGTTTTCCCTTGAGTCCGCGCTACATAACAAATGGTACACAAGCTCTGCTGCGGAAAGTAAAGATCCCTTCCTAGCTACTCTCCTTCTCAGCTGTGCCATCTTGTCAAGCTTTTGATCAGATTTGCATCTCTGAACCGATACATCGAATCACTCAAATTTGGTCTTTGGATTCCGGCTTCGAACTTTCGATTAGCGTTTCGAGGAAATGGTAACTGATCAGTCCACTCCAATTCGCCTAATTGCCCTCTACTCCAGTACGTCCAATTCATTCTTGTTGAGGCTTCTTAGCTAAATCTCTTCATAGGATGTTGAGGTGTTTTGCGAGCCTCTGTGCGGGCTCAGCAGTCTCAGCGTTCCCCAGTTCAGAAGTAATGTTGCAAAGAAAAGAATGAACAGATAGGCTCAGCAGACTCAGTTTAACTTGGCGAGAATCTATTGAATGAATTGCCGGTGGCAGCGCGTCCCTTTCAGAAGTAAAATGAGCCCTTCTGCAAGTCCGATTGAAGTCTCAGCAGGAGCAGCATTTCCCTTTCATCAGTGATAGGAAACAAGGGGGTCAGCTTCCGCCCATCTTGAAAGCAATAAGCAGCTACTAGGCTCGGCGTCAAATGTCTGCAATATAAATAAGTGCTCTTCTTTCCCTTGACTGCTGTACCCATCCACCATCCAAATAACTCTTTCGGCACACGCTTCCTCCTTCCCCTCCTCCCCTCTACTTTTAAACCCTAGACTTCAAGGTAAGAATAGCTTCCTCTTTCCCCCTCAACACCGCCGCAAGCTTTTTCTTGGGATCTAACAGACTACCCTCTCGAATCTTTTCTCATTAGCCAACCAACCAAGTCACTGCCAAAAAAAACGCACAATGGAAGAAACTATAGGAGCTGAAGCGATGCAAGCGCTTGGTGAGTTGTTCCTGATCTCTTTCTTCCAAGAGAATTTTAGACTCCCAAGTTTTCTAACAGTCTCATCCGGCTGATTCCATTATTTGAAGATGTGCTTGACCAGCACAAGCGTGCCTGTAAAGACCGATACTACCGGCAAGCCCTGAAGCGAGAGTCCCAGAAAGCCCGCTACGTGGACACCTACTCGAAGGTGAACAGCTTGAAGCAACTGGTTGCAAAGGACCGCGGCTTCCAAGTCACTGTCAGACACCCCAGGCTTTGGTACTTGCTTGACACTGACGTCGGCCGCCCTATCCAAAACCTCGGCACTCCTCCCACCCCCCGCTGGGATGCGCAGGGACAACTTGGTCTCACTCTCCGCGAGAAGCCTCTCCTCTTGCTTTTCTTCTTTTGCCTATCACTTGCACTTCTCTTCTTTGTTATCTTTGCAACTTAGACTTGATTGCTTGTAACTCTCTGAGAAAAACTTGTATTATGCGGTATGCCTTATGATCCCCACTTGGACAGAAATACAGCTTTTAACAATTCAATTAAGTTTCTGTCATAAATGAATCCTTTGAAGTGGTATATATCTGGTATCGCCTCTCGTGTTTTAAGCGAAAAGACATATCCCGCAGTTCTTCCAAAGGCTAGTGATACTCAAAGCGGTTTGGACATGTCCTTTTATTGATAATAATAATGTTCTAGTCAGGCTTTTCTTGAGGAGAAGTGCCCTTCATAACAAAGTTGGTGCTTCATCAGGCTATCTGTCGAATGAGTAGCAAATTCTGCACTGATGATACAACTGTTAAACCATCGGCCAGACACGCTTATAATCAAGAGCTGAAAGCCGGTTTTCAAAGAATAGGTTTGCACAAGTCAATTACGATTCGGGGGTAAGGATCTGATTACATTCAAGCGAAATTTCAATGACAACCTTCTGCTTTGCATTCAGCTGATCAACTGGATTTCTCATCTGCTTTACCGGATGGCATGGTGCTGAGTGCCCCTTGGAGTCTAAGAAGTTGAAGAGCATCCTGTTCAGTAGCAGTAGTAAACAAGTAGGTAATCTTCGTTCACAAAGGGAAGCAGCAACAGAATATGGAGGCTCAGTCTCAATTGATGGCGTGATGTCTTGCCAAGTGTCAACGGTAGCAGCCCGTCCCTTTCAGAAGTAAGAAGCTCGCTCATCTGATTTTGGCTCAACATTTGCAAGGCCTTTCATCAGTAGAATTGTGAACAAGGGGGCAGCTTTGGCAAATGGAAAGTAGGAATCAGCAGCCAGGCTCAGCGCCACATGCCAGGATTATAAATAGCAGCACTTCTTTTCCGTCGTCGCTGTTTGTCACTCATCATCCAAGTCTTTCTCCACACTGTTCCTCCTCCCCCACCTCCCCGTTCCTACTCAACCCCAGTCTCCAGACTCGAGGTAAGAGATGTTTACAAGATTCTAGATCTCCTTCTCAACTCACAGCTCACGCTCCTTCATCTTTTAAAATTTCCGAACCAAGATAAAGCGCTTACCCCAAAACTCTGACAATGGCACAATCTCTTGGACCCGAAGCGATTCAAGCGCTTGGTGAGGGTAGCAATCTTGCGCAAGGACAATCTTTCTTCAAAAACTATAGCGATATCCTAACATCACCAACCCCCCCCACTTGCATCTTTGTAGAGTTGATCGACAAGCACCGACGCGCCAGCAAGAACGAACTCTACCGCCAAGTAATCCGAAGAGAGTCAGAGATCGCTCTGTTTGTGGACACCAAGTCGAAACTGGCCACCTTGCGAGAAATCGTTCAGAGGGATCTGGGATACCCCGTCATTGTCAAGCACCCCCGGCTTGCCTACTTGCGCAACAACACTGTCGGTGCTCCGAGCAAGAATCTTGGCACTCCTGGCACCCCGCTCCCTCTTGCACAGGGCCAACTTCCTCGCCCCGAGTCTCGTGTTCTCCTTATCTTGATTGGCCTTTCATATGCTTTCCTTTTCTGTCTCCTGCTTTCATACTTGTTTTAGATATTTAATCTGCTGCAAATTATCACTGGAAACCTTTTGTATTTTTATCATTATTCCTTCAAAGAAATTGTTGTTCCTTCGTGAATTCCTCTACTGTTCCTTGAGAAATGTTTCTTTTATCTCCCATCTTCGCTTTGAGTAAGAGCTATAAACCATGCCGTTCTTCCGGATACCTGAGCTGTAGGCCCTTACCTTGAACATGATTGGCTATTGATTAGAATAGAACACTCTCTTACACTTAGTCTCTGAATCGGAAGACATCTCCTTCACCGTTGCTACATCAATGAGGATGCAGTTAGGAGTACCTTTGAATTTGAAGAGAAGGATAAGTGCCTTAGAAGAGGGACGCGTACATAGTCACATGGTCGGCAAAAGCCTAGGTTCGCAATGCACAACTAACTCTCAAAGCGGGATCAATCAACGTTGCAGTAGGATCAGCTCGTCCAAGAACTGATAGTACAATTTGTGATGCGAGCAAGATACAAGCTTGGCACAAAACAGAACGGTTGTGGTGCCCAAGTGAGGAGGTCCGGGCTCAATAGCCAACATAAATATTTAGATTGTGGGATGCTTGCAAAGCACAAGTCACCGAAATGGATTTTCGGCGCGCGAATCCACATTGCGGAAAAACCCCGCGGATGACTGTACGTCATCTCGACCGTTTAATATGTGTTTATGTAAGCCAGAGTCAGGAATCACGAGGCACGTGACATGGCATCGACAGCTTCGGGTGGTAGCAGCCTACACACGAAAACCGATTTCCTTAAAAGAGCCAAGCAACCAAAACTCAAGACGAACCACACCAGAAGAAGAAGAAGAAAAGAAAACGAGTGATGCAGAACAAGAAGAAGACAGCACCATCCAAGCAACAGAAGAGAGTCTCAGCAAGAACAGCAGAGACCAGCACCCAACGATCCATCGACTCATTCTTCAGTCCAACAACAACAGAGCCCAAAGCAAAAAAAAAATCGACTACTAGAGACGATCCTCATGAAGAGAAGGAGAAGAAGAAGAAACCAACCAAGAAACGAGATTCAACCGAGCATCCATCTGCATCAAGCTCAGCAACGAAGAAGAGGAACAAGAACAACAAACAGCCAGTATCATCATCAGATCATACGCGGCCTATCCTCATAGAAGACGATCAGGAAGAAACCCCATCACTAGAAGAGCCTCAGAAAGCTAAAGAGGGAGCCAAGCCAGACATGGTCGAAAGTGGTATGACTTGTCCAGTGTGCTCGAAGCTCTTGGATTGCCAAGGAAACGTGTCTCTGGCAGAACGACATATCAATCTCTGTCTCGATCAACCCGGCCCATCTGTTCCAAAACCTCCTCAAAGCCCTACTAGTATCATGCAAGATCAGCTCGATGTCCCAGACACGATTGGTTTCGAAGAAGCAGAAGAAGACGAAGAAGAAGGGAGTGTCAAGTCTCTGTTAAGCGAGACAAGGAGCGACCAAGCACCAGGGCCCTCGTCGGCGAAGCCTCGGGCGACGAAAAGGAAGACGAGAGTGACGAAGCAGTCGGCCAGGAAATCGACAGTTGAGAAAACGGAAGGATACCGGAAGGGAGGAGCAGGGAAGAAGGCGGTCCCATTTTACAAGCTGATGCCGGGGACGACGATATCGGTGGACTGTTTCAGTCATGGGCCCGTCCCCGGCGTCTCCGCCTACTTCCTCTCACATGCACATTCGGACCATTACACTAAACTCAGCTCGAGCTGGAAACACGGCAAGATCTATTGCTCAAAGACGACCGCTAATCTGGTCAAGCTCAAGCTCAGAGTCGACTCCCATTGGATCGTCCCGCTCGACTTCAATACCCCTTACACTGTCGACGACGTCCGCGTCGTCTTGATCGATGCTAATCAGTCTGTCACTCTTCTTCTTGTTCTTATCTTGAATCTCATTCTGACTTTTCTTTTTGTTATGTAGTTGTCCCGGCTCGGCTATGTTCTTGTTCGAGGGGATCACCAAGCCTGATCGAAAGCCGTTCCGATACTTGCATTGCGGAGACTTCCGGGCCACGCCCGCTCAATTGCGACACCCGGCAATCCACGAGAAGGTGATTGATATATGCTATTTGGACACGACGTATCTGGGTGAGAGCGCGCGAGATCTGAGGGCTATATTCATATGAGAAAAGAATACTGAAGAATACCCCCGATCGGTAGATCCCAAGTATAGTTTCCCGGCACAAGACCAGGTGATCCAAGGCTGTTGTAAAGCCATCGGCGCAAGGGTCCTCGACGACGATCACACTGCCACTATGTCTTCCAAGGACATCAAAACTCTGCAGGACATCGGCCGATCTAGGGCCGTCCTTAAGTCTTGGTTGCAGCCTCACTCTGCTTCCTCCTCCTCTACTACCCTGGGTCCCCTTCCCAAGAAAGAAGGTGTCCCCGAGCAGGTCGCCGGTGCTTCTGGTGAGGAGCCCAAGCAACCCAAACTTGCTAGCATCGTAAGCATTCATCACCATTTGTTTTTTTTTAAAAAAAACACAAGACTGAAGGAATGAACCCTCCCCCTTCCCCTATTTACGATTCTCAGTTTGAGCCCAAAGACCAAACAAGCACGAATGAGAAGCGGAAGAGTTTGATTCTGATCGGCACCTACAGTATTGGAAAAGAGCGGATTGTGATCGAGGTAGCCAAGAAGTTGGGGAGCAAGGTGTTTTGTGCGGATGCTCGGAAGACGGGGATCATTGGGGCGATCGACCGGGCGGACGAAGAGGCCGAGCTGCAGGGATTGCTCTCCGCCGATCCGCTCCGTGCTCAGATCCATCTCGTCAATCTCTTCGCACTCAATAAACCGGGCTTCTTGGAGGCCTATTTGCACAAGTTTAGGCCCCGCTTTAATCATAGTTTAGTTTCCTCAATCTGTCTCGGTTTCTTTGGTTCTTAGGCATCGATTGATGGGTTCAGTCTTATGTCAACTCATCCATTCTTCCCCCCCTTTTTTTTCTTGGTCTATGTAGTCATTGGAATCAAGCCCACGGGATGGTGTTACAAACCCTCCACACCCTCCTCGATCGCTCTCAACTCGATCGACTTCAGCGCGTTCATCGAGACGTTCCAAAAACAACAACAACAACCCCTACAAGATGATGATGAGGTGGTGGTAGAAGGCGAAAGACGGGGGAATAATAGTCGTCGTAACAATCCGGTCGGTCAGCTCATCTTTCCGGAAAAAGTCAAGCCTGAGCTCGCCGGTCTCGTCGAGGTTTATGGGGTGCCTTATTCTGAACACTCCGTTGAGTCTCTCTCTTTCTCTCTTTTCTTCCTTGCTTGCTTCGCTTCTAATTTTTTTTGCTGCGGGACGGGGGGGGGATACAGTCGTTTTTTGAGTTGAGTTGTTTTTGCATCTCGTTTGATTGGGTGCGGATGATCCCGACTGTGAATTGCGGAAGTCCGGGCTCGCGGTAAGTGAAGATCGTCACCCTTTTTCTCCTTCATCCCTTGCGTACCAAAAAAGAAAGGGAAGAAAGAGCTGAAAGGAGAGCAAATCTTGGTCGTTGGTCGATAGGGCGAAGATGAAGGGCTGGATCGATCGCTGGAAAATCGAGCGCGCCCGGCGCCTCCTCCTCCTCAACAACTCTTCGTCCGCTCTCCAGAAGACTCGTCAGTCTCCCGAAACCCTTCCTCCGCCCCCCCACTCTTCTAAACTGCCGTCACCTTCTACGACTTCCTCTGAACTTGTTCTTCATGCTTCTGCTCCGTTACTTATCAAACCTAGAGACCAGCATTATTGGTAATCCGACCCCCCCCCCTCTCTCTCTCTCTTTTTTCGTTACGTAGAACTTTGGCCATGAATAGGCTTCCCCCCCACCTTTCCTTTTTTTTTCAGAAAGATTGGCACTTGGTTTTGATTGGCTTCGACGTTGCTATGTTGTTTTTCGTATTGAAATATGCTCAATTGTATGTATCATAACTCTCTCTCAAAAAAAAGAATTGCAACCGTTTCAGATTGGTTTTTTTCTTCTTTTTCTTCGTCGTTGTTTTTTATTCATCGTTGGTATGGATGTTCACTTGTTTTTTTAGGTTTCTATGTAGCTGTTTGTATGCATATAATATGTAGTGCCCCTCACCTCTTCTCAACTACCCCTGTTGGGATGTTCCAAATTCTTGAAAATGCAAATCTCAGATTTTTTTTTTTCTTCAAAGTGTTTGTGTGCATTTTTTGCATATATTTGAGGTTTTTCTTTTTTGTTTCAAATGCGAAATTCTTTGACTCTCGAGGAAAATATACATCAAGATTGAAATTTTTATGTATATACAGCTCACTGATACCCACATTTTTCCTCGATTTTTCTGCCTTTTTCCTTGACTAGTGTCTAAGGGCGGCTTTGCCGCCTGTTTTCACATAAAAATGATTTGTTTATTTCATTTACTCTATTAATTCACACAAACCAATTGAGATGCATATGTTTACGCCCCAACATTTGTTACTTTCTCATCTTTGAATTTTTAATCATGTTCAGGAAATTTCTTCAGATTGGATATGTAACACTGACCATGAGGAGTTCGCCGTACTAAACAAATTGAATCAATCTCTTCCTTCAAGTTAACCATTTGGTTTTTTTGGGTCAATCATCAAAAATAAAATTCAATGACTCCAAAGACTATGATTGAAGTCACATTACTGGATGGATATATCTGAGTTCATTAATGCTCCACATGTGTTTTTAATTAAGATCTACAAATTAGCAACTGGCCTTTCCAGCCTCAGAAACTGGGAGATCAAACCAACCATTAAAATGATTCTACTGATTGGAATTTGCTTGGATGTACAAAATATCTTGCCCTTTGCGGTCACATTCTCAAATTATAACAATAATTAAAAAAAATTACACAACAAAAACCAAAGTTAATTGAGAAGCAGTCAATCATCTCAGTACAAATGCAAGATTGAGAGTACAAACGTAAGCATAAAAAAGAAAGAATTAAAGATCTGATTTATTCAAGAATACAAATATTCATTGTTTTTGTTGGTGAGTGAGATTTCCATCTCTTGATGGTCGATTGAAATCAAAGAGTTGCTTTTTGAGCAGTTTTGAGTGCTTGATTAACATTAGCTAACAATCGGTCTTTGCATGATTTAATTCCGTGATAAAAAACAAAAAACAAACAAAAGATAGTTGAATATGCCGATCGGGGGAATTTTCAGTCAAAAACATTTGATTGAAGATCACTTGATAATCAAAGATGATGATTAAATAAGGGACAGACCTTTGCCGACCACACTAACGATCCCAGCTTTCTTAAATACTTCAGAGCAATGAGGCTTCATGTGAGAAATCCAAATGATTTCAAGTCAATCAATGTACTCTTGCAAGATTTCTCTCAAAATCTGCAAAGCCGAGACATCAATTTAATTGACATCTCCCAGATGAAAGACCATCATCCTGGTATCCTCTTGTGATACCCGTTTTGATGTCATCTACCAAGGTCAACAAAAATGTTGCCTAAGAATCAGATTTCAATTGGAACATTAAGCTGTCATCAATGATCAGAGAGTGTATTTTTTTTTTCATCAATAGAAAACATCAAAATTAGAGTATCTGATTGGAAATTGTATTCAGATTGACTTACGGTCATTAGAGCTAGCTCAGTCCAACATCCCAAGTTCCAAAAAAAAACAAGTCTTCCAGAAGTTCCACAAATAAACTGAAGATCACTAAAGAGATCACGACTGCCAAAACACATTTTGGCAGAAAGAACAGATAGTCCAGCAAGATGTAACTGGTGACAATAATTGTCAAACCGGTGATAATTGAAGACATAGGAGTTTGAGCACCAGCGGTTGCGTTTAGCCTACCTCTGGTGATCGAGCCATATGCTTATGTGATACAAAGACAAGAATAGGAAAGTCAATTTTTGAAAGTCAACTCATTTTTATCAGGTATATGTCCCATCACAAAGGATGTGGCTATGTTTGCTTCTCCCAGGGCAACAAGTTCCCTGCTGGAACTGATGGAGTAATGGAATCTGGCAGGTTCACCCTTTGCAGCGACGATTGGCTTGACAAGGCCGCAGAGAGTGTGAATGCTGTACCGAGCGTATCTTTGCCAAGTTTTTTTGAGATGCCTTTCCACGATAAATCGATTGGAACTTTGCTAATTCATATCAATCGGAGGACGGCAACAGCCTTTTGGTTCCAGTTGTAGAGATCGGTGAGGAAGCTTGCAATGGCCGCCATGATGAGGATCTTGGGCAGATATTTCAAACCGGGGAACTAAAAAAACTGGAGGACTACGATTTGGATGAAAAGTAAGTGTTGAACAGTGAAGAACATGACTAAATCTGACAGAAACGGGCCTGGCAATAAGAAGAAGGGGGTATATTTTATTGAGAAAGGAAAAAGAATTTGGATCAATGGCCGGGTGAAGTCATAGGACATGGCAAGAGAGTCAGTCACAGGACAATAGAGGGTGTGGGAGCGTAAAAAAAAGCTAAGGAAAGGTGGATAAGGAAGGGGAGCTGTGCAAAATTGAATTGCATTTGCGCATTTGGGATAATATAGGATAATCCCGGATTTGGGATAGTCGGAATAAGCAGAAGGTTATCGAGGAGGGGAAAGGAAACGGTAACAACCTGTGGAGAAGGAAAATGACACCGGATTGGGGAAGCGCCATGTCGAATGCATCGGCAAGGGCTATTCCTTTGGGATATTTAAAAGAACAAAAGGAGATGAAAAGGTATTTAAGAAGAGGGCACTGAGTACAATAGGTTAGGGCAACGTATGCAGGTTCAGTACAAGAATTAATGTCTTGTCGACATCGCTAGTAGCGATACCTGTCATGAGCGGTGGTTTGAGGTTTATGGTTAAACTTTTTAATAAGATGTATTTAAATGCTATAAATGAGTAATCCATTTCTTGAGGCCATACTCATAGTATGGCCTTTCTTGGTGTGTGTTCCAAATCTTGTGTTTTGAAAGTTTGAAAGTTTTTTTTGTTTTGATTTGCATCATAAATACACAACAATGGTTTTTATTTTTGGATCCCCGACCAAAGGAGAGGCTTAGTTAAGCTAGCTACTCCTGTAGTGCTCAAAAATATGAATGACATAATTCTAGCATTTATTGCAAAATCAAACATACCACCCAAAGTTCAACTTTTGTTTTGCAGATCCGGGGTAGTCGAGAAGAGGTGAGGGGTACTGCGCATCTATTATGTGAACTTTATTTGGCTTTGTTTATACTTTAGGCTCCGTTTGGCAGTCCATTATATCATAAGTAAAAATATGTAAATCCAGATAATCAGAATATGGTAGATAAACCTTAAACCAATTATCACAAAGCCAGACAATCCACTGCTTATTAGAGTGGATTTTTGGTGTTATATGTAACAACTAAGGTCGACACAGCCCCAGACAAGCTAATAATACTAATTATCCTCAGTACACGCAATGGATTGAGCAAGTATCAACTCTTAGTTTCTTTATTTTTTCTTAACTAGAAGACTTTTATTTCTTTCCTTTTTTTTTTTTTTTTTGATACAAAGAATGGTGAATGCAAAATAATACAAAGATTTCACCATGAGGAAAGAAACCCTCATGTCGAATACAACTTCTTGAATAATAATAGCTAAATTCGAGAACTTTCTACTGCTACAAAACTGATCTTGTTACAGATTAAATTTTATTTATTCAAATCTTTCTTTTTAGAAGAGAAATAAGAAATTAATTTTATTTTTCTTCGTCTTTAATTCATTTTCTTACTTTTTTACTGATCTTCTTGAGTAGTTTCATAGTTAGACTCTTCTTTAACTGAAATCTTTACTGTAAATCTTTTTTGAATTTTGCTGTGCATTGTGCCTACTCGTCACATTATAGCTTGACCAGCCAAACACTATTTTCACTTATGATAATAAATGCGGTCCCCCGAAACAATTTGCAGGATTTTCCTATGATATTTTATGATATCATGGACTGCCAAACGGAGCCTTATAATCTTGGGAACTGGAGCTGAATAGCTGCACTTGATCAAGCGCGTTTTGTAGTCTTCCGCTGCAACATGATGTGTATGTATGTTCAATTTTCAAATGAAATATGTTTGCTTGAGCATACATGCACACTTATCAAAACAAAAAAACATAGGCGGTAAAAAGTCGGTTACATAAATGATAGAGAGGTGGGGTTTTGAGTAGCTGGATAAGAACATTTAGGGGTTGGTCCAATTGGGTTATCATTATCGCCGCCCGCAAGACCTGTGCGAACACGGCGCTCTGAGCGGCTGTCGGGTAGATTTGAGCCACCGGAGTTGCAATCAAAGCTACGCTCGGACAGCATCTGCCCGGCAACCGGCTAGAATGACTTGTTCCACCAGTCCCTGTTGGCAATGAAGGTAAAGTACTGCTGACCTTCGTGATCACCCCGAGGCCTTCCGGCTCAGTGAGATTGGCCGGGACCGGGGACGTCTGTATGTCAGACAACCGGCGGTGGACGACGTCCCAGACCCAGAAGAAGACTTCGGATCAATCTGTGTTGTACATAGCACTCACAACAGTCTGAAGTATGTCTTTCTCTTGGAGCAGTCCGTATGTATCATTCCGTATCGGTGTCTGAACTCAGATAACGCCTCCTGCGTTTACTGATTCAACGTCTCTTTGTCCATGAACAACTATGTATGTAGTACGCCTTTGTCTGTCACCGATACTCTTAACCTTGGGTTGAGCTGCTCGAAGGTTTGAATTAACTGTGTCGACGGCGGTCATACTTTTCTTTTGTTTTGTGTGTGTACGTGCGCACTGGTTAAGGAGAAAGAAATGACTGGCCTTTATGTTACCTAGTATGTGGGGCACGCTGAGTGGTAGCCTTTTAAAGATCCAGTTATTGATGTTGGAAAAAGGTTGGAGACCTTATAACACATTGGCAGACTCGGTTACGTTCGACAAGGGGAGAGGAGAGGTTTTCCATTGATCTGGACAGTACTGGACCGGTGAGCCAGCGGTCGGGCATCGATCATCTGTGTAGAACCTGATCTGCAAGTGTATGATACGCAGAGGAAAACGATTGCTGTAATAGAGCCCTTTTATTCTTGTTCAGGCTGTTCAAATGCCGAAGGTTCAACGGTACCACAAAGGGGACGCCGAGCCTGAACTGTGCGGACAATAGGGGGAAGGTTGCCTTTGTTGCGGACCGCCAATATGGGCTTTCCGGTGGCCTTTCTCAAGCAAAAGAAACACTCACCGGTCTCTAATCATGGATGGTATATAAGTGGACGTTGCCTCGTGCTTTGCTTCTTTCCTCCCCATCCATCAACCTTCATCCACCTTGAATATAACTTCTTTAGCTATCAACCAACGCGCCTTTTCTAAGTTCTTACCTGTTTGCTTCTCCGGGCCGGTCTCCCGTAATATTAATTTTTCTTTCATCGCACACCTTCACTCGCTTCGTCGTTGTTGATCATCGCCCTGTAGTCAGCTTTAATCCTACGGTATCAGTGCAGAAGCGCTTGAGCTCAAGAACTTGAAAAGAAGAAGAAGGACGGAATTAAGTTTCGATTTTGAAGATGGCCGCCAATTTCGCACCGGACGCTGAAGTGAACATGTTCATGAACCGGGTCTTCATCCTTCCCACCTTTCGACCATGCCGAGAGCACGGCGACCATCACGAGCTGACGATCGTCGTACCCGCCGGCAAGGGCCAATCAATAGTTTACCGGATTGCCGAAAACAACAAGAAATATTATTTGAGTAAGAAGCTACTAAACCTCCGTACCGAAATCTTACCCAGCCGACCCAGCCCGACCGACGGGAGCAGACGACCAATGTGGCTCGGGGAGATTGCGGACGACCCGGTCATCCGCGAGACCCTAGCAGAACGTTTGGAAGCTGCTTTACGAGCGATCGAGAAACCAGATGCCGCCTGCAGCCGGGAATGGGCGTTGAAATTCATCGCCAATGTCCGCCATAATGAGTTCCGTTGGTGTGATGGCCGATTGCGGGAGTTAAAACACACCCTTCTTTCGCAAGCCATTTCAGCCAAATGATTAATTATTAGAGGCCTACCTTCCATCCAATTTCTCGACATCTCTTTCACCCCGTAATCCATCGATTCCTTTTAGTGTTAGCCAACTTAATTTTTAGCAGTCCATTTGGTGTACTTAACTTCTTGTATATATCCTTTTTTTTACACACCAATCCCATGTCGATCATTAGTAGAACTGATCTTGAGAGAATCTTGCCTGTGAGTTTGAGTGAGAGCTTCGACTGTTGTTTCGGTCTACATACCAGTGTAAAACGGTTAGTTTACATTTGCAAGACTTGATTGTGAGAAACTGAGATTGTACCTCATTGTCTCGAATAATTTAGTAAGTGGTTATTTTGCCGAAGTTGTTGCTGGGAGTATCGTGAGCAAGAGGTTCTACATAGATGAAGAAGAATGCTATCCCTACTCCAGATTTTTTTCTGCCTTGTAGAGAAAAGTACTGAGTGTGAGTGAGGACCGGGTTCAGTGGACCCCAATGGGGGAAAGATGCAGGTGGCCGTGAGCGGGCAGTGCCGGGAAACATGAGGAAATGTGGAGAATTCCAGGAGCCGGGTGGCATCAGAGGGTCTTTTATAATCACCAGGAAGCACCAAGCTCGCCGTCGTGCATCAGCCGAAGCCACAGTAGGTTCATCTGCTCCAATCGTAGGATTGGAGTTTGCGTCCAAGCTGCTATCACAGTGCCCAAAACCGAGGTTACTCCTCGCAAGCAACAGCGACGTCTGCAGACCCCACCAGGATCTGGCAATCAATAGTATACCGGATCACAGAAGACCAAAAAATTAACATCTGAGCAAGTAGCTCCTCGACCAAAAGAGAAAAATCTTACCAACTGGAACCACGTCGGTTGATGATACATACTTGAAGTTAGCTGAAACTGAAGGGTGGAAAAAAGAACTGAGAGTGATTGAACAAGACGATGCCTCCTGCAGCAGGAAGTGGGGACTTGATTTCATCGACCAAGTAAGGCATAGAAGAGACAAGAGAACACCGGCCGTCAGGATGTAAGTACATCTATCAGATTCAAATGGACTGCTAAAAAAATTGAAAAGGTTTGCGAAAGAAGTTTAACTCCCGCAATCGACCATCACACCCGCGGAACTCGTTATGGCGGAGCTTGTCGATGAATTTCAACGCCCATTCCCGGCTGCAGGCGGCGTCGGCTTTCTCGATCTCTCGTAAAGCTGCTTCTAACTTTTCTGCTAGGGTCTCGCGGATGACCGGGTCGTCCTCGATCTCACCGATCCACATTGGCCGTCTGCTCCTGTCGGTAGGACTGGGTCGGTTGGGTAAGATTTGCGTCCGTAGATCTAGGAGCTTCCTGCTCAAATAGTACTTTTTCTTGTTCTCCGTGATCCGGTAAACT